AAAAATTTTCATCGGAAAACATTCGAAAACAATAGTTCTTTCAATGATTTCTGATAAAAAAATTCCATGACATCTTTCCATCTGATATCAACTTACGCTTTCTCAACTTACAACTCACTTTCTCAATTTACAGAAAAATTTCTGAGAAACCTTCTTTCGAATACCTTCTTAAATCAAAACTTTCTTTCGAAAACTTAATGATTCTCAATGATTCTTTCCACAATTTCTGATTTTCAAATTGCATGGAATCTTTCTTTCCGGAACTAAAATTTCCATAAAATCTTACTATCAAAAGTTTGTTTCGAAAACTTTCAAAATTCTTTCTTTCGAAAACATTCTCAATAATTCTTTCCACAACTTTCACAGCTAAATTATTTTCTGTTGGTTTTGTGCGCATTTACGAAGCGTTTTCCTCCAATTTTCTCGCCTTTCAACATTCGGACGCGCGCGCAGATGAAAGTGCACTTTGGCTTCTGTTGCCCCAACTATTCCGGTGACCGACAAATACGTCCACAACAAGTCTAAACTCTGACAAAAAGCACCATTTTAACTATAAATAGTAAAATGCTATATCTCTTTTTTGACATGCTCTCTACTGTGCCTCTCTTTCTTTTATCGTTCTCCTCCCCAACTGTTGCCGGGGTGGTATTTTCCCCACCATGAATACTAATCTCCTCTCATACCTTTCAATGCCTGCCGTACAAACAATAATAATAGCATTATTAATAATAGTAGTAATAATAATAGTAATAGTAATAATAATAATAACTATAATAATTTATTATTACCATTATTATTATGCCTCAGGAAATGTTCTTCAACAATTGTTAGTGATAAAAAACGATATGTTTACGAAAATATTGGTAAAAGATAGACACTCAGTAATTTGCAATGCTCCGTAGATCGGATGGTATTTCGGAGAAGATCAGAAAAGAACACACATGCCCAGTCCTCTCCGTGCCGCGGAAGTGTTCTTCGCTCAAGGGGAACCCCTATCTCTTCCAGGGGAGCTCTCTTTGTCTTGGTTGGCCCCTCTCACATACAAGCAATCTTTCCCCACGTCAAAGGAAACCCTCAATTCTTGAACGTTATGAACGAAATCATTCTCACAAGCAAGCGATACTGCACTTCCGCTTCAGTCTACCACATCAAACGGAAACATTTTTTAGTGAACGAGCGATTTTATATACACCTGATGGATAAATAACACAGGTAGACGTGCATGTTTACGATTTTTGCATGTGTTAATTTTTGAATGATATCTACATGATCAATTTATTACGTATGTCAAGTAAAATATTATGTCAGAAAATATAGAAGATTATAAAACGCAGTCATGAAGGAGTTCCCCCGTAAAATTTGTACTCATCGAAAAGTTCACATTAAAGGAAAATTGTGAGGAATTTGACTCTTTCGATGGTTTGATTGTAATCACTTCGAAAAAAACTCATGAGAAGAAGATAAGCTACTTTTGCTGATAACGGGCGCCACCGCGCCATCACAGATGCTCGTGTGCTCATACGCTTCACACATAAGTCGAAGCCTATGCATTAGTCTCATCACTGGACTAAGCGTAAGTCTAAACTTAAGCATACTCCTGATTTCCCTGCGAATTGCATATCTAAACATGCAGCAAAGCGGTAATCTAAGCATATGCGCGCAGTGTAGCCCGTTATCAGCAAAAGTGCCGAAGATAAAACATGTCTTTGATCATATTTGTGCAAAGCTGTTTTAAAATTCTTGTTGAATGTTCAATACTTTCATGGTTCATTCGATATATTTTGCTCAGTGATCAACCACAGCCATTTTTGCAATCAGCCACTACAATGTAATGTTGTTCTATTCATATTTTACGCCCTTTAAAACATGCTCGAATACAACGCAGACATTATTTCGTTCGTTTGCTTTGTTGCTTGCTTATGTTCTCCGAATAGCTGCACTGACAATGCACAGCTGAATGTAACGTTCTCTTTTTAATATACAAAGTGACATATCTGCTTTTGTACCGTTCTATTCGAATGAGTATCACAACAGATAGCATCAGTAATCGTGTTCCTAGCATAACTATATAATACGGTTCCTATCACATCTAAATTATACTCACTCTACAGTGAACATAAAGTATACAACTACCGAATGTGGTCTGGAGCAGCAGCAAAAGTAACTTTTGATTGCTTTTATTATCATTTTTATTATTGATATTACCGTCATTATTGCTGCTATCATTGTAATTATTGTTATTAATGATACTGTAAAAGTAATTTTTATGTGTCGTCAAACTGAGAAAGTTCTCTGGTTTGACAGGTCGCATCGGCCGCAAGTGAAATTGAACGAGACCAACAACAGTGGGATCTACTGTATAATTAGTAATTAATTTATGGTTGATAAAACCGAACCGGATCACAGTTGATCATTCACCAATAATCATTAATTAATCAACCAGTTTAGTATGACCAGTTTAATTAAACATCAGATTATCAAACATCTTTCAAAGTAATTCTTATTTGATTTTTTGATTTTTACTTTATTTTTTTGTTCAAATTATCATTTGTGAATTTTGCCCAGTTAACTTTGTCTATTTCTTGTCAACCTCACAACAAAAACTTGTTCGTTCAGATTCGCCCGAAATGTGACGCCTGATCAAATAAGTGTACAGATATTGAGTGGTAAAGGTGAACTGAAAAACATCGAGCTGAATGAAGTTGTTCTGACCGAGGTGAATAATCGAATTTGTTCAAAGAAACGAAACTCTATGATCACTACTGAATAACCGCACAGCGCGCTTCTCTCATAACTCGTACCTACGTGCTCTCATCAAGACACCACATTACAATAACTGATTGATCAAATTTCTCTTCACTGAGATTGATCAAACGTTTTGTTCTCGTTGGTCAATTGCACACATTGATCTACTAAGCGATCAGTTTGCACTAGCTAATCACTTCCTGGATCGTTAAGTGATCATTAGTCATTGAATGATTAGCATAACAATTAATCTTCGTTTCCTGGTCAATGAATGATTTCCGGAATGATTAGAATTAAGTGAATAAATCTACGAATGAGTAATGTTTTAAGTAGAAAGTGACTAAAAATGTGAATGAATGAAATATAACAAGTTGATCGATGATATAATGATAGTAACGGAACGATTCAAGGTTCTTGAGCTACCAACATGGTTGAGGATCAAGCGTGCTGGATGTAATCGTGTTGCTATTAAAGTACCATGGACTCGTTTGAAGTCTTCGCCTGTTCAATTGGTTTATTCATGAATTTGTTTATTTGAATTTCTTGTTTCCGGGTGGAATAGTTATCTATATCAATGGATTGTGATTGAATTTATGCATTTTTAAACTGAATAACACTGATTCCTCGTCATCATCATCAATATTAGACAATATTCAAGTAAATCAGCGAAACGAATTTTCAGTTTGTTGATGAAATCCAAGTAGAAGTAGAACTGACGTCCGATGCACCCGTGTCAACAGGCTCGAATCCATTAAGGTGAACGAATGAAGCATTATCTCATTGCTAAGTCTTAGAGTTTCGTTGTGAAAGCAAAGCGTAATTAATTACAGCAGTTTCGGTGAATCGTCATACGGTTTTGCAAATCGTGTTATTGAAGGGATGTCGCTCTATGTAAATACGGTCGAGATACGCTTTGATTCTGGTGTTTTTGGAGGTTCTTTAATGGTATGAATTATAGTAATAATAATGAGAACTGTATCAACAATAGCTATTATAGTGCTGAAGATAATAATTTAAGCTGTAATAAGGACAATATATTGATAGATAAAGCAGATGCACGAATAAACAAATAAAAGCTTTCAGTTATCACGACTATCGGTTGAAAGTAAAAGTCCTGGCTGGCAATCGATTTCAGATCTACGTTACGGTCGCATTATAGATTCCAATTCGAATCAGTTACTTATGTTCAAGCAGGTAATTACAGTATTATTATTGTTGATATTGTCAATACAATGTAAATTTATATTCTTCATTTTTTATAATTGCGTAATTCATTTTATGCTTAAATACTTATTTATTACAATCTGCATCCTATATATCATTGCAAATAATGTTGAATTTTCCAGGTAACATGGCAACTGTTACGAATTGAAGCATCTGCCCAGTTGGAACCTTCACAACGATCTAATATAAACGCGCCATTAAGATTAATCACTAGTAATGGCAAAAGTCGAATTGCTGTCAAAAAATCGTCCATAGGTAACATTCACACTATTGATATGCAATAATAATAAGAATCATTCACATAAATATGATCGGGTTAAAATATTTGTTATTATTAATGGTGTAAGGAAAATGAATCACGAATAATAAATGTGTCGAAAATAATAAGTTTTTGAATAGATGGGAGTGTGCTCGGTGGACGTATTCAAACCATTCTTGAGGATATTCTATGGGTTGCTACATTACCGCAAGTGAGATCAGCATTAGCATTCTATAGTCATATGATGAAACTGATCAAAGCTGCACCAAAAAAACGAGTAAATAATCATTTATCACCACAAATGAAACCATCAAATGTTGCTGCACAACAACGTTCGTCTACACCGAATCTTGCTTCAAAAGCGTTTCGAAATTTTGATTTCGATCAAACTTCATATCATTTATACGTTGGCAAAATCGATCTGCATCTTTGTGATGATGTGCATGCTGTTTCATCAGGTATTTGCCTTTTTAATTCAGTCCTTTCACATATTATCCTTTATTTTTTATTAGCATTCAATCAGTCAGTAATTGATAGTTGAATAATAATAATATCCGTACAAGTAATAGGTTATCCGAAAGATTGGGATATCGATAGTGGTGCATTACAAGTAACACTAATACGGCTTTCCATCGATATCTACCCGTCCAATGTGGCCGCATCGGATCGTTTGAATTGGGTGCGTTATGCAGCACCAAATCAATGCTCAACATGGATCCAACAAATATTGAAATCACACTATCAGTTGCTCACTTCACGAATGGATTCTAATGCTCAATCACGTTTCTCGCGTATTTGGCCACAGTTGCATTCACAAAATTGTGTATTGCGTATTCATGATGTGGTCGTACAATGTGTTACTGACGCTAACTCTAAACGAGATGCTCTCTTCAACTTGTTCGCTTCGGATCGCAAGTCAAAAGCTTCACTGCCCTCAGATCAGCCTCTCATTCATCTCGAATTCGCTTCTTTCTATCATCCAGCCACCGAAACTATGCCCAGTCAGTCGATTCCCTTCTTTGCTCTCATTTGTCGTTGATAAGTTTCATTTTCGGCATTAAATAAACTGATGCATCACTAACGACAATAGTGATGATAACGACCAGCGGTGGTCATTACATAACTAAATCTGTTGTCATATAAATGATTGTAATGCTTTTGAGTGCCTCCGAACGCGACCCATCTACTAGTGGGTCCGTTTTCGTTTCTATTCGACCAAAGAACCATTCGTTGGGTATTGTATGTATATGAAGATATCAATAATGCTTTGGTAGGTTATTTTATTTCATTAACTTCTTTACTAATTATTCGATTTGTTGATTATCAATGATTCAGTAATATGTCGTAACGAAATTCCCAATGTGATATCACTAGGAGAGTGATCAGTCAATCGCACCGATTCCACCACTCATTTAGTTTGCAATATTTACCCATCTTTCAGCAATCGTTAGATGCTCCAATCGAGATGGATTATATGCCCAAAACTGACGTTCGTATTGATCTGCTAATGCCCAAAGTATGTTGTGTTGCTGATTTCAGTCAACTCATGTCATTCAGTTGGAGGACTGAATAAAGTTGTTTTTTGTGTGGTTTATAATTTGTTTATGTAGGTGAATACTGATCAGTTGAATCGCTAAATGAGTTTTGCTATCGATGCTTGTTGAGAATTCATAATTGCGTTTGTCAGATAATTATTCCGTTGGGTGATGGTCGAGGTGCAGTGAGAATGGATAGCAGAACGCCGAAACGTGTAGTTATCAGCATGAGCACCGTTCTAGTCACCAATTGTGAATCAGCACATAGCTACGATTCGTGCTCCTTCTTCAAGTCATTATCGTCGAATCTCATCGACTTCATTGATGACACCACTCAGTTGAACAACCTCAATATTGATTCATTCCGACAGTTCATCATTCTTCTGAATCAATCTCAGTCCGTTGTTGATCCTTCTACAACTCGCGGTATGATACTTTCATTATGCTGTTAAATTAGTTGCAATAACAGTAACAGTAATAGCAGTGTAACCGTTTAACAGCAACAGACTTAAGTTTTACTCATTGTGCACTTTTGATATGGCGTAATTATTAATAAAACTCATTGTTTGTTCGGAATAACCTCATGTCAGTTTCCTGATCAAAACGCCATTCATTCGTGCACTTTTGATTTATTTGTTATTATCATTGACATTTTGATTTTAATTTATTGTTATTATTAATTGTGTTGTTTGAAGAGAAGGGTGAGGATCGTTTCTGGATAAGCACATCGCCGATATGGGTAGATACAGATCGAGGCGAATCATCCAGACCCACACCACTTCTTGGTGACGTTGCTCTACATGCGCTCTGTGATATCTCGTCGAAACAGGTTCGATAATTATAAAGTCTAAAGCAAATACCAGTCATCATTTTGATGAACGGAGCGAAATGATTATATTGCGTCGTGAGTAGACAGAAGCAACAAATAAGATGAACTCTTTTTAATATTTTTCATTATATATCGAAGCATTTTACGATGTATAGTAGCCATATACTGTTCATTTCTTGACTTGTGTACATTTTACAGAATTATTCACCCAGCAACCTAAACTACCCTTCAAACTTGTTTTACTGCTGTCGAAGTTTGAAGTGGGAAGGGGAAGTGAGAGGTTCGGGCTCAGAAATTTCGATTATTGTTTTTTTGGGAATCAGCAGTTTAAAACATCATGTCTACGAAGTTGAAACTAATCACATGAGTTACTAGGCAGTTGCCCTAAATTGCAGTTGAACCGTGTTGATCAGTCATTACGTTTTGCGAGAATGTTTCTTTATGTTTAAAGTTTTAAGTAGCGAATCAAAATGTTAAGTGAGTGACTGATTAAGGTGAATATTGCTGTACAACCGCAGTGTCGAATACGGGCTGTTCTCAATCACTTTCAATACATTCAGTTAACACGTTTATTAACAACGATCTCATTATTTATCGACCAGTTAGATGCTGATCAAAAGTTTTTTACTGCCGATCGCAGTAACGGTAATTTATCAATACCGATCGCTGTTTTGTGTCTTATCGATCAGGTGCGTTATTGATTCTACGTAATGTTAATAATGATTTATTGCAGCAATTTTATTATTTTTAATTGTTGCTTTTTTTAGATTTATTAGTAAACAAGTTTAATGACAATAATGATATATTTAGTACGATGAACTAGTTTTAGTACTGAAGTGAATTTATTTTGTTGCATAAAAGCATAAACTGGTAATAATATTGTTTCAAGATAGAACTGAATATAATGTTAGCACGTGGTGCAATCATGAGTCCATATGAGTGTCGATCAGCGAGAAATGAACGTGAACAACATCCATCTGATAACTCGTCTTCGATTGTATCAGGTTGGTTCTTTTGTGCAATTTCTTAATAAAACTGAATTTAATTGAACAAAAAAGTATATTTGTTATTGTAGAAATGCGAAAAAATTTCTGAGAATCATTTATTTGGATGAGTGTCTTTCAAGTTATATTTATTTGTTTATTCGTTGACATGATCATCTACGTAAAATGAAATTTTATTTTGTTTGTATTGCAGTCGTTATTAGGTGTGTTCGTTGTAGATTGATTAGTGCTTAATACCATTGTGTTGTGCGCGAATTCGTCGAGTTTTTACATTTAATTAAATCATTTCTGTCATCAGTCAATCGCGCAAATGATAATAATAATAATAATAATAATAATAATAATAATAATAATGATATGTGAGCGGTGAAGCAGTTCATTCATCCATTTCATTGATCGATTCATTTTCTTGGCAGATCATTTATTTTTCGTAACCGCGATTGTTTTTATTATTAATATTATTATTAATTTTTTACAACACAGAATGCAAATCATAACACAACAAATGCAAGTAAAGGCGCACATTCGTTCAACATAATGATATTAATGTTAATAATAATGATTATAATAATAATAATAGTAATAATAATCATATTTCATAGTCAAATAATGATTATAATCACGCTAAAGATAAATAACACTACTAACGAGACGAATCATGATTGAAATTCTCTTACAATTAGTGCTTTTTGTTTACTTTTTTCTTGATTTCCATTTAAAAGAACGAATAAAAGTAAAAAAATTTTTGTCAAAAAAATAAATGAACCAAAATGAGCACGTAAGTTTTTGGAATGTATAAATAAAAGAAAGAGTATCAAACGAAAAAACAATTCTTGTGTCAATAAAAAACATGCTTTAAATCTGAAAGACTCACATTGCAATATCTCATAATCATTCTCATATTGTTGCCATACTTTTCACATTTCTCCTCTGCAGGCTAATAATCATTTTAACAATATTCCAACTAATGCTCGTCACTTATTTCTCTCCATGAACAGTATTACTACTAATAATAATAATCTATGTGAATAACTGAAAGCAATAAACATGTGAGCTTAATGGCTAACATATCAGACATAACCATGAAAGAGATTAATAGTTAATTAATGAATAATTGATTGAATCATGTGGCTAAAAAAGGATTCGGAGTTGGTAAGAAATGAACTCATGTATTAACAATTAGACAGATTATTGTTAATGATCGCAGATCGTTCATAGAGTCGATTGTTCAGTTTTGATGCCTTTTAATTAGTTCTTGTGAATGAAGCTAATTGTGATAGTGATAGTTGTTTGAAATTATTGAGCATCAATAAAGGTTGAGCTGAATGAAACAGAGCCATAGTTATGAGAAGTGAGTAGAGTTGGACTGATGGGAATAGGTAACAGTATAACGATATATCTCAGATGAGTCTGAGAGGTGCTTCGCCATCTGGCAGTTGAACGGATTCAACATTGCTGTCAACGTTGAATTGAATCGTTTCGGCTTTGGTCTGCTTGTGCTTGGTTGAGTCATCGTTTGTGTTAGTATAAGCCGCTTTTTGTTGTGATTTTGATGCAGCTAACCGAGTCAGTGCCAGTTGCCTTTGGCGTTGTTCTACTCGAGATGGCACAGGTCGATCCATCTGAATGGTTCATCACTTATCATTAGGGCTACTGCTGCATGATGACCAACGCACAATTATTTGCAGTTGCAATTTTTTATTAATCAGTTTTGAAATAATTTTGAATGGACAATGTCAGTTATCCCAGTAGATCAGTCAATGAATTAGTCAAGGAACTTATCGTTTAATCATGATCACTCTCATCTACATATGTTTGTTTGTTTTTAAATCAATCTTTGTTTTGCACTTAATCAGATTGGTTCAATTTTATCAGGAATTGCACGCGCATAATCAATGTTCGCGTGATAAAAATGAAGGAGTCAATAATAATTCAAAACAAACAACAATTTGTTCACTAGAGCAACTTTTCTTAAACTTCTTTTTCGACCTTCGCATCTCACTTTTACACCTCTTTCCCGCCAAGTTCCACATATACAACCCCTCCCTTCTCTACCAGTTATTCGTCGTGTGTTTCATATGTTGTAGTATTACTAGTGCATGTTCGGTGAATTGCGTTGACGAGGAACTGCTTAAGAATTGCGGCTTTAAATGGCGTGAGAATGGTGAACAATAAAAAATCTTTTAGTATTTTAATGTTGCTTGTGAAAGTAAGTCGCTGTTTGTGTTTGCTCATGAGTTCATTATGATTTAGGTTAGTATATAACTTATTTTGTATCAAGTCATGTTCAACGGTACCATTATTGTTGCCTAATAAGCAGTGTCTTGTACCTACTAAACCAAGTTTAAGATTATTATTGATATCATCATGACGGATTATTGAGCATCTTCACTAATTGATTATTAATAGCAAATATGATGAGCTTGCTGATTTGTTGTTTGATTATGATGTGAGATTTAATGTTGAAGAGTAAAGAGATATGAAGTAGATAGATAAACATAGGTAGTATATCATACCTTAGGTAATAGTTGTTGTTGTTTTGTACTGGTGACAGATGGTCGTCGGCCAGTTGGACTGATACTTAGAATCCTTGTTTGAGTGGATGAACTTTCGGCATGATCACCTTTTTCGGAAGCAGCAGTAATGGGCATATGATGACGTAGGAAGGGTGAGAATTTGCTATCAACAGGACGTTGTGATAGACGGAAGAATCTTTCAAGATTAAGTTTACGATTACGTGATAGAGTTGCTGATGATGCTTCAACTGAACTTTCCTCTTGGTCAGTTGTTTGAGTTGATTCAGTATCAAAGTCAGATTCAGATGGAAAAGTTGTCGTTATTGTGAGTTCATCTTCATCAGTGCTTACTGCTGTTGTCGACGAAATCATTGTTGTCGCTGCAGTTGCTGAAAAGTTTACATTCTCATTTATCAACTTTTAGTACCACTCTTCATTTATCACCTCCTTTATTCAGTAGATTCATTCGTTGATTCGGTTTGAATCGATGATAATAATGATAGCGATGAAAACAATCTTCGTGGATTGCTTTTCTTTTAAACATGGGTTAGATACCGTAATCGTTACCATAATGGTTGTTTGGCAATTTTATGTTAAAATTTGTTCTCGATAAATGTGAGTGATATTTTAAAGAATGGTTTAGTTCTGCTGTAATACAGTTCAGATTCAATTGCGAAAAGTTTAAGAAATTCACATACCTAAATCGTTCTAATCCAGATAAGCAATTCCAAAAAAAACGAAATTAATCACCGAAAAAATTGCTAACTAACTTGTTGTTGGCATAGGTTTATTACAACATGTTGGTGGTTGAGGGCGTTGAACGCTTTTCTTTGGACATAAATCTTTTGTTTCGGTCAAATAATCGCTTTTACAAATGAGATTCGGTTCAGTGGTTAGGTTGATCGCTTCTCGGCCATTCATAACGTGGAAACCATCTTGTGAGCAAACCATTGGGTTCTCTGAAGTTTGCTTTTTTTGTATTCATCAATCCTTATTTGTATTCATTTATTTCAGTTCAGTAAAACCCTTTATTTGCTCGTTTCACTTGCTAACTGAATCGATCAATGCAGTGCAGTTAGGTGGTTAAATTGATCAGTGCAGTGCAGGTGGATAAAATCGCTTTTTTTTCGAGGGAGCAAGAAAAATAAGTGAGGTGAACGATTTACTGAGAATTTTGAAGAAAACTGCTGATGCGTATTTGTAAAAGGGTGCCGTAAGTTCAAAAATGTTTTGGAAATTTGGCATCGATTTGGTGAATGAATTGATCTTGATAAGATGTGTTTAATTTTGATGATAGTTTGTTTGATTATACTTTTGGCAAATTTGGGTCATCAACATTTTCATTTATTGTGAAGGCAGTGTTTGATTTGTGTTGTTTGTATTCATTGAGTAGGTATTTATCTATTTTCAACACTTTATTTTTAATTGAGTTCATTTCACTTGTGTGGTACATAAATGAATGGTATTCATGAAAGGAATGAAGAATCAAACGACTGAAACAGTAGTTGTGTTGTAGAATCTTATTGATTAACAACAACCGAGGAAAGATGAAAAAATTTTGATTGAACAGTAAAAAATTTAATTAGTTCATCGAAAAGAAATTATTTGTCAAATAAAAGCATTTACCTTGTAAACGAACAGTTAAATGATCTGAGCCAGTGATAGCACCGGGTTGAAGCACTTGAATTTTGTTATGCGATAAATCCAATGTATGTAGATTAGCGAGATGTGCAAAACTGAGTGGCTAAAAAGTGAGAGCGTTTAATTTCATTGTTAATCGTGTCTTTAATTTGAAAGTTTGTGGCAGTGAAATGATGAGTAGGATTTTTGATATTAATGGCAAATGAACTGATGATAGTTTTTTTTGTATTGAAGATGTTTTGGGAAGACGCATGGAATTTAAGAAATTCATAAAGAATTGAAAAAATGTTGATAGAGGAATGCAGTTTAGGAGATAAAGCTCATTATTTTCAAAGACAGTACTTATCAGCTGCGTAATCAGTCGCATTCACACATGCAAGTTATCAAAATCATCACACAGCTACCCTTTGACTCACCTGTATGTTATGAATATTGTTATTGGCCAACGAAACTTGTCGTAAGAATGGTGCTCCTTGGAACATATTGGCCGAAACTGAGCTCAGACAATTGTTCGGCAACCATAACAGCAAAAGTGGGGTGGTTGCGAATGATCCTGGTGATACTTCCTGAAATATTCATTCACATGTAATCATAATGTAATTATCGCATAAGTAGTAATTCAAGTTGAGGAGGTTTCATAATTGTAACAGTAACAGCGCACTATTTCACTCACCGTTATTTGATTTCCTTCAAGGTTCAAATGTTGTAAGTGTTCCAAATCGGTGAACATGTCCTCAGTTATTTCGGTTAAATAATTATAGCTGAGATCGATAACCTGAAGCCAAGTGATCGGATTTTTGTTAGATTATTGATCACAAGAGTGATTTATTTGCTGGCACCAGTGATTTATTTATTATTTGCCAGTTTAAAAGAATAGAGAGAGAGCTGTTTGGCTGTATGATCACTATGTTGAATTGCTGCTGAATAGTACCTGAATTTCTGGGAACTGCGAGAAGACAGACGGTTCAAGAGTCTTGAGATTGTTGTTACTTAAGTAAAGGTATTTGAGGCTTTGTGCATCTGGCATGACATTCTTTTGAATCGTTGATATATTGTTGCCAGTTAATGTAAGAATTGTCAAACTTGGAAGGTTCATCAATTGAAGTTTCTCCAGTTGTTGTATCTTAAAGTGGTGTAAAGTTCTTTTTGAGTTTAGTTAATATGATCATAATGGTAATAATAATGCTAATAATATTTGTTATGAATTGTTTTCATAATAATAATAATGACGATTACTTTATTGTACTTCAGATGTAGTCCAATAAGATTATCCAAATTGCGAATAGCATCTGACGGAATTGAACTTAGGCAATTATTGTCGAGGATAAGATTTTGGAGCGTTCCTTTGACATCCTCGAAGGCTGACCCTTCAATATTGCATATCTGCAAACAACAACAATTATCACTATCACTCAGTATTGTCGCTATTATCATTTGGTTTTTTCTCGTTTTTACACTAATATTTTTCCAAAAAGTTTCGATTACTTTTTTTCAATTAGGTGATATGTTTGCGAGAGAGTAAATGTTGTGCAATTCAGGATGGTCAGGTGAGATGATGTTCGACTTTACCTGATTGCAGGCCAAATTCAAGTCGATTAAACTTGATAGATTTCGAAATATTGGTGTGCTAATATTAGTGATTGCATTGCATCGTAAACTGAGCACATTCAGTGCGCGCATTGCGATCAACGAGTCAGTCGGGACTGCAGTGAGACGATTCATTGAAATTGATAGATGTTGCATGACGGATTCGAGTCCGCGAAACGCATCTGGATGTAGCGCTCGAATGCGATTGTTATCCAAAACCAACTTCTTGATGCGCAGATTTTTGAACGCATTTCGTCCGATCTAAAGTGAGAAGCGTTTAATTGATGAGGAAGTTATTGATTAACTAATTGAATGATTGAGTTTGATTGGTAGGCAAGTTGAAGATATTCTCTACGTCCTAAGATATTGTTTAGGTATTTTCATTATGTAAACATATTCTCTGAGCTCAGCGATAATCTCGATATATGTGCAGTTAAACATGACTTGAGTTGGATTCATCCTCCACTTATTTAAGGAATATAACAGTGAGTGAGTTGAAATGAAGTGATTATGTTTGAATGAGGTTAAAGTTATGAGGTTGATAGTGTGCAGCCTGCATTGATAAATGTCAACGAATGTTGAATGAGATAAGTTGTGTGATGAGCAATCCACAAACCTCCACAATATTCGCGTTCTCAAGCGCCAGTTCGCGAATCTCGAGCGGCGTTCGTTTTAGTTGTTCAACAACAGCTGGTCCTTGCGGTCCATTACATTTGATCACAATTCCATCAATATAAGCAAAGCAAGAACATGCCGTTTGATTCTTGAGAAATTCTGGGCATAATGCTTGCGATTGTTGTGTGAAGATAACGAGTGCAATTGAGAGAATTGACAAGATTTGATTATTTAGACTCCGAGTGATCATTTTCTAAATGTGAATCATAGCTAGATTAGAACTGCTTTGTTTCATGTGGCGATGGATTAATCAACAAAGCATATGTCCTCAATTCAATCTATCTTCTCCTTCGTCTGCTTCTTCTTCCTTGAATAGATTCACCCCTTCATAAAAGTTGGGAAATCTGCAGCACTCCCTTAACAGGTCCTTCCCTTACCTGAGGAGATCATTATCTCCTTCCCCCCTACCACCAGAAAAAAAAGCTGGCCTTTAGTTTGTAATGATGAATGTTATGGAATAATTAACTATTTATTTTTAATAGAGGAAGGAAGGAATGCAATAGGTTGTTATTGGAATTGACTAGTAAATAATTGGAAACTGAGACAAACGAATAAGTTTAGGTAAGTATTGTTTAAAAGTTATTGTATGAAGTAACAATATGAAGCGATTAATCATATTTTGACGGCTGAGTTTGTTCTAATTATGTTAAGTAAGAAGAGGCCCAAATGATTATGAAATTATAGATTATTGATGATAAAGGAATGTGGTTAATCAAAGTTAGTAAATAAGTAACAATTAATGAGGAGCACCTGGTGAAAATATGGTTATTGTAGCGACGAATTAGTGGACGATTCGAGGCAACCAGTGATCAAAGAAGCAATTGATAGGTGTGAAGAATATCAGTCTTCGTTTTCCTAAGAAACGTCAGTTGATCTCCGTTATGGTTGTTGTTGGTGTTGTAAAAGAAGAAATATCAGTAACCAGTGGGTGAATGGGATGTTTTAGTAGGATGATGATGAAGATGATAATCTATGTGAAGAGGTAAAACAAGATGGATTTAAATTGTTTGAAATGACTCGTCTTAGTGAAATAACCACCAACTAAGCACCGTGTGAAAAGATGGAATGAATGATTGATTTGATTCGGTGTGAAGATGGTATCGTTGTACGGATGAAGAAAGATATCAAGAAGGAGTTGTAGTTGATGATATTGTATGTGTTGGTATGTTGTGGTAGTTATTGTATGGCACAAGGTCGGTGCCCTCCTTATTTATTCACTTGTACATCATTCATTCATTTCGTTTATGGTTTATTAATGTAGATGTATATTTATTTATTTATTTATTTATTCGTCGATAGATCGGCAGTTGATATATCGAGAGAGATTGATAATTTGAGTTGCGGGATATTGTTACGAAATGTGTAGAAAACGGAGAGATGGGAGCACAACAGCAATGTCAAGGACAATTCGACGATTCTTTTTGATGTTGTGGTAAGGATAATGATGATAATCTTTGAAGAATGGTTTCGAAGAGAAAAGAGAAGGCGTAAATAAATGGTGAGGAATTTCGGTGGATCGATGGGTAAATGAATGTTTAGAAGAATTGTTTGACTGAGGGATGATTTTGCTAACGGATTGAAATGAATAGTCGAGGTTATAGCACATTTGATCAGATAATATCTTAATTTTCTGTTTAAATGGGTACGTCTCGAAATAATGGCACTTTTATTCATACACAATGTTTTTGATATTATTACTAATAATAGTGATAGTATTATGATAACTTACTGAGTGATACTAGACTATAGCAGTAGTGTAATATTATCATTTATAGCTTATCGGGTATAAGTTACCATAGCATAAGTAATGGGTATACAAAGTTATGTCTTGAATTGTTCAGGAACTTATTATCATGGGCAGTTAGTGCGTGGCTATTCATCAATTTTATGTTTATCACCGTAATGAACATTAACAATAAGGAAATAAATGTGATTATTCCAAGTAATTAGATAGATTGAAAGACTTTACTGTAATGCTGTCGCGCAGCCGAAGTGTTCAGGAATTTTTGTGGTTATCCATTCAAAGTCGACGAAAAACGCCATATGAAAATGAATTTGGCTTGAAATCCTTGAAATCTAATAGACCATGAAAACGCCACTGTCCAGTTTTCCGCTTGGTTACAACGTATACATACGCCATATACGTACATTCAATGAACAAGATTTAAAGCAATGAAGCGATCATTTTTATTCTTTATTTCAAATGTCATGCTGTTCATCAATACCATTATTATTGCTTGTCTTATCCATTTGATAAGATAATTTGGTAATAATATTATATTACTTATTTATGAGCATGTAGTACATTTGACTCTACTGTAACTGATCACAAATCTTGCATTATTAATATCGTTTTTCTTTGGAAAGATCGTAATTTCATGGGTACATACATGTACAATTAAACAACAAATGTCAGTTGTTTGCAACAAATTCCTTTCTTTCCAACCACTGGTGTTTTTAAGACTTTCCAAACAATAACTTCGCTGTTCCTTTAAACTGAATTCATGATTGTGGTCAGATTACCACACCCTCTTTTCTTTTCAAGTTCTTCAGCAACACTTTCAGGTGAAACTGCTCTAAGCATTATGATACGTTCGGGGAATAAGACAAGTCGCTCTTGCCCTTAACAGTGGATTATTATTATGGCTGTAGTTCAAATTATGCAAAAACATTCCCCGATGCATTAGTGTTTTTATTATTATTAATACATGTCTGTTATTGTTAGCAACAACAATATATTTATACAATTGAACACGTACATATGCAAGTATTTATAGGTCATTAGTATTATTGAAATAGTTGAGATGATATCATTCAAGCAATAATCAATATTCTTTATAATAAGTGGTACTGTTATAAGAACTGGGCGTATAGATCCATGGACGTGCATCATCGTTGAGTCGATTGATTGTTGACGAGTGTTGCGCACCAGCGTTTCTGAAATTGTTGATTTGTGGAGATGCTTAACACCATCTCGTGTTTAAGATTTAGTGGAGGCATGCTAAGAAGATTTCTTGGTAGGAGACGAATGCTGTGTTGAAAAGTGCGTTGCCTTCAACTCACCTGCTTGCACAGTGATTGCTTTTCAGCGGGTTGCTGCCCTGCGGCTTATTTGTTTAGTTTCTTTTCTAGTGAAAGAAAGAGCGAAAGAAGGGATGTTCCTCCATTAAGTTGTGAGCCGAAAATACTACGATAGGTCATAGATGAGGGGCGAGGTTGTTTCACGGCTTATGATGATGATGTTTTATTGTGGTTGCTAGAAGTGATAGAATGTGATAAGAACATACCTATCAACAGTACCGTATAGCATGTTGTTGATATGCGCTGCTTGAGCAGCTACATAAGCATTGGTGCGCATTGCCGCCGAATTACTGCAACTATTCGAAGCTGTTGAACTGTTCGAATTAGCACATAGTCGTAACCTGTTGCGCCTTTGCTCACGTAAGCGTTGATGTTTCGCAATACATAGGCCAATGAAGACGGCACTCATAACGATTCCTACAGTACTCAAACATATTGTTATTATCACTGATGGTGTTGTCAACTGCTGCAATCTGCAATATATATTTTTATTGCTAAAATTATCACGAGCACTAATTATCGTTGTTGATATTATGAATGCCATTATAATTACTATGTAATGAAATAATGGCAAAGCAGCGGTAATAGCTAGTTTACTTACCTAGTATTCGAATCAGTTTCGAATGATGGATGTAGTTGTTGTTGAGCAGAATTATTAGTATCGTATAGCTGTTGTGTTGTTTTTGTGCTGGATTGCAGCAATTCAACTGGTTCGTATTTGCGAGCATTTTGTCGATTCAGTCTTGAGTTGATGACTTCGTCGTGCTTGTCACCATTTTCATCCTTCGATAGAACGACAATATTCGGTGGTAGTGTGTTTGCTGCGTATGCAGGGAATATCTTGGGTGGTTGTTTGAGGAATGGTACTGGGAAAGGATGGATTACATTTGGATTATCCACTGCAAATCGATCGTTGTTGTTGATAACGGAAGAAGGTGATTTGGTTGAAGTGCTTGTTGTCATTATTGCTGTTGGTTGTTGATCAGTGCTGTCGGCGAAATTATCGTTCGACTGGAATATTCGGTCCAGATGGTTGGCTTTCGCGAATCCGAACTTACTACGACTTCGACTATTTGTCACGGGGTTGATCTCAATTCGAGAGAGATTATTCTGGTTCTGGTTCTGATGCTTCTCCTTATTACTCATCATCGCCGCACTGTTGGTATTGCTATCGTCCGACATCATTATGGGATTTGATTCGCTCCATTTATCGTTGTTGGCCTATAAAAGGTATGCATTCAACAACCATCATTATAATAATGGCTATTACTGTATTAACAATAAATGCAATTGTTGTATGAACTCATCAAATAGTTTAGTTTTACATCTACAGAACGTTTTTGTTGGCTTGATGAAATCAGGTTTGATGAGTTAGCTGTTTGGTGACAGTAATGATAGTAATAACAATGAACGCTCATTGCTAAAGATAATAATCGACTGATTGATTGCATATGATTATGAATGGATGGAGAACAGAATTGAATTGTTTCCAGAGTATGTTCCTGTATAATGGATAGTCATGATAAAGTTGGGTTATTAAACGAGAAGATAGCTGACTAGAAAGTTAATGGCTAGAGGAGGTCAGCAAATCAGTGGACGGACAGGACAAGATCTATAGATAAAGGAAGGATTCAGATGTGAATTGGATTCAGAAAGACGGCATAGATGAGCATAGGCGTACCCGTGAATCGAGATTTATCTGTGAAAGGATTGATAAATAGGTACCTGTGAACTGAACCGAGAAAGTGGTTGAATAATGGTTGATACGGATGATTGTGATGGTGATGGCAAATGTTTCAGATTAGTCTCATTGGAAATTATGTCTTGAATGAATGGTGTCGATTTTGGCGATGAGGGTTGTGATTGTAACAGAGAAGAAGATGATTGGCCTTCTGTGGCTTTCGAGAATTCTTGTTGTGCCATTTGAGTGATCGTTGCATCATTTTCTATGTCGCTATTGCCACTGCTGCTAGCGTTGAGGTTATTAGGATTGTCAATGGATTGTTGTTGTTGCGGTTGTGGTGTTGAGTAGTGATCAATAGAAGCACATATTGCATCGGCACTGTTCGGAATATAGACACCAACACCTTCTTGAAGCATATGCACTCGTTCGGTACAAACCAACGGATTCTCTGTAGTTCATTTCAGGTTAATTCATTTCAATCATCAAAAGTAACCAATAATAAATCATAGTCTGTCCCAACATACAGCTAGTAATATGTGACAATGAAGTCATTCACTTTCTTGTTGATTTACCAAGTAGTCAGCTTCTTCTGAGTGTCATTTGCTTCAACTGATTTGGTTTATGAGGGGCGATTGAGCAATAAAGAGAAGAAAGGAATAAGAAGTGATCAGTATCATATTTATGTATGCATATCATATTCAACATGAAGATTTTATGAGTCTGACCTTGTAAAAGTACCGTCTTAACACGTCGACTAAACGCCGCATACGGTGTGCGAATCAGTTTGTTACCACTTAAATCAACCAAGAAAATATTAGTTTGCGTTAGGAAGGTGCCTGACGCGATATCGAGTAAGTGATTATCGCTGAGGTCAATCATTACAAGGCTTGGATTTGTGTAGAACGTTTTGTGATCAATCGTGTCTATCTGAAGAAAAAACATTGAGAAGTTTCATTTCAGTAATAAGATTTGTTATTATAATATAGCATTAATTATATAATGATACTCATAGCGACAATAATAACAATGTTATTGATAATAAATTGACATTCACCTGATTATCCTTCAACGAGATTTGTTGTAGCTTACTGAGTCCATCAAACATTCTCTCATTGAGTTGTCTCAAACGATTTGAATTCAGCACCAAAATAACCACAGAACTATTCGTGAAAGCGCCTGTTTCGATTGCAGCAATGCGATTCTCACCCAAATACAACTGCCGAAGGTTTTTGAGGTTTGAAAAAGCATCAGTGGGTAGTTGTAGAAGCGTGTTACTGGTAAAATCAAGCATTTCGAGTTGTTCGAAAGAGCTAAACTGGTGTGCAAATATCTGAAAGTTTAGCAAGATAATGAAGTTAATATTGAATTGAATGATGTTTTCATATGTCATTTCATCAGAACTTCTTTTGATAGCAAAAATTTTGGTGCTTAAAAAAGTTCTATTAATTTCGAATGCGAGAAGTTTGTTTCAGAATCAGTATAGCAGTTAGGTGTAGTATGTTGTTTCATGTAGATAACTGTTAATTTTCTTGTTTGAATGAAAAAATCAGTTAGAGGTAGAAATCAGTTCAATTTATCATGCGAACAGAAATACTTTATCAAAACGTAGAATCGTTTTCTTAAGAGTAACGAGTAATTAGTATGGCTTATCACCTGAGTAATTCGATTTTCGGTTAAATATAAGTAGCGAAGATTAGGAACGTTGAGAAACGCTTGTCGATGTATTTCTTTGATTTGATTCGTAGCCAAATTCAGCAGATTCATTTGCGGTAAATTCATAAATGATAGTGCATTCAGGCTGGTTATATTGTTACCGTGCAAATGCAATGCCATCAGCTGTTTAAAGCCGCGAATCGCTGAAATTTTTGATGATTTTTAAAAACTTAGTTAATGTTTGATATTACATCTTTCAGATGGGTTGTTGAATGATTAATATCTTGATTGATGAATATTGTCCTTAAGTGATATGTTTATCAGATAACTTGATTAACGAATGTTGATAATATTTCTACAAAAGTTATTACTTGACGTGGCAGTAGCGCTAAAGAAATCATTTGACATACCTGGAGCAGGTATTGAGTCGAGGCAGTTACGGCCAAGATTCATTGTTTGAATATTGTTGCGTACATGATCAAAGATGGACTTATGAATGCGACATATGCGGTTATCAGCTAAATTTAAGTCGTACAGCTGAAATTTTGATTTGATTTGGCTTGGCTTGAATACTGAATGCACCATATGTTTACAATCATGAAATTTATTTATTTTTTGTTTCATTTTAGTTACTTAAGTTTCATTAAGAAGTGATGACGATTAAACTTAGGTATAATATTAATGCTAATGTGATAAGTTTTAATTCCAGCATGTAGCAAAATGGGTAATATAATATAAATAGTTACACGTAGATCTTAGCGGTAGAATAATGTAGATGTTATGGTAACTGAAGGAGTTAATGAGTGGAAACAAACACCTTTGGTAATGATGGCAGAGCATGTTCAGGTTTTAGATCAGTGATTGAATTATTGGATAGATCAAGTTTGAGAAGTGATTTCAATGGGATGAATGCGTCAGATGGAAGTTCGCTGAGTCGATTATAAGCAAGCGAAATTTCTTGAAGAATATTATTAGCAGCAAATGCTTGTGTATGAATGGAAGTTATCTGATTATGGGATAGGTCGAGTTTTTTGATGAAAAGACCCGTGAAGAAATTTGCCGGTAATTGTCGATTAAGTTGTGCGTTTTGCAGAATCAGCTGTTGAATGAGACCAAGACTCTGTTGATTAGTGCGTAACAATTGAACGGTGTGAAGAGCGTTCGAGTTGGAACAGTTCAACGCTAAGCCGTTATTTAGCTCTTCACAAACGCATACTGATTTCACAAATTCCGGACATGCATTTATATCCTTCATGCAAAGACTTAAAGATAAAAATAATAGCAATAATGATGCAGAAGAATTGTGCAAAAATATTGATACCAGAAACATTGGCTTGCTTTGTAGTATCGTAGCGAAGAGCAGTAGTAGTTGGAGTCAGAATAATAATTTTAAATTAATTTAATAGTTGTATGCTTCTAGTGCATACCAAAGTTTAGGTTAACGATGACGATAATTGCAGTAATGATGAGTCGGATTCGGATAGCATGCAGTGAGTTCAGAAGAGGATGGGATTCAGAAAGAAAGAATTTCAGAAGGACAGAATGAATGGAAGGGGATATAAAACGATCGATGAAGGTGAAATGATTGCTGAATTAAATCAATCAGTCCGTCAGTTGATTTAGTGTTGAACTATTGATCGTAAGAGGGACACAGATGGGAGGTAGGGTGCTGGGTGCACGGCGAATCAAATCTGAGTCAAGCTGAGCCGAGTAGAGCCGAAGCTGATCGGTTGTATGAGCCAGCCGACTAAGTGAATCGTTCTCAGTAAATCTACTGCATTTGATATATTCGGTAGTATTTGGTTTCGAGTAGTGAATGAAAGAATAGAATCGAATCAGTCGGGCGCATACACTTATTTTGCTGCACAAGGTCACTGATGCCCAGCACTGACTGCTTTCGATGATGAGCGTAAGGTGAGTGCCCCGATTATGTCATTCATTTCATGATGATGTCACATACGCTGTCACACTCACTGATTCATTCATCCGACGATCAGTCTCATTCGCAGCTTTCCATACCCCTCTCACCCTAACCAAAATATCTATCTGGGTCATTTTCTGGTTCGGTATGTCAGTTCGCTGCAGTAACGGCAGCGGTACAATAGCGATTAGTTGGCTTTCATTTGCACAAATGAATATGAATCACCTAACCTATGTGAATCATATCACATTTTTCAAATAATGAGAATATTTTTGAAAGGAAAAAAAATGCATAAAGCTCACTCAGGGATCATATATTTATGTGGGAGGGTTAGTGAAACGACAAGCGCTAGTTTATGTGTTTTGAAGAACAATCACTCGTCAACGTCAACAACCACCACTTGCTCCATTCACTTATTTCATTTCAAAGCACGCTCACGTTGCAGCTAAGATATGTAAACTTACTTCCGTTTACATATCTCCAACGTACCTTCACAAAATTTTCACGACTTCGTGCTCCAGAAGCAATTCAAAATGACAATGGTAATGATAGCGTTGGAAGTATATATCAGAGGATCATATCTAACTTAATTTAACTGAAAAAATGAAATTTTTAAAATGATTTCCGGACACATCCCAACCACATTCTTCCTAGATGTGGTCACGATTTACTGTCCAGTGTATGATTTTGATAAATCATCGAGCTGAATTGTATCTTATGGCAACTCAGTAATTTAATTTTGGTAGCATAGGTTCAGTGGATTGGATGAATGGATAAAATGACGAAAAATATTAAGAAATTAATTTAGGTTAGGGTTAAGGAAGGATAAGTGATATTTGGGGGGCATAGCGACTAGGAAGACCAGAAATCAAGTACTTAGTTGATGGACTAAAAATGTGGGTCATCAATGGTTGTAAAGAATGAAAGTATGAAAATGAGCAGCAGCATTGGCAACAAGCTATTTATTCCTGTGAATCAATTTTATTGATACCATACATATACAATAAAAATTTTATTGAAGTAGCAACTTCAAACCCTCAAAACTTTTCTTGTTTTTTATAAAGACGGCTATTCAACTTGACTCGTGAAGTGACGTGGCATTGAATTTTTCCATTAATTCATTCTGTGTTAGTGTTAAGATGGTCTCAAATCTTGTTGACTCTTGAGCAAGCAGGAGATTCTTTTCACGTAAATTTTAAGAGAACTCAAACGAACCAAATTTCGGGAAAAAAAAGAACCAAAAGTTATCGGTCGTTTTGAATTTCTCACAAAAGATTCGAACTTTTCAAAAAATTGTCTTTTAGAAAAACAAAATTTTAACCAATTAAATGAGGAAGTCTCGTCAGAATGATTTATGTCAGGTAGGAAGGAGCAATGTCTCCTCAAACAATGAAAACCGCACCACGTCTTCAATGAAGGAACAGATTGAATGGGCGTCAACGGCAAAATAATGGACTAGACAATAGCACTGTACATTTGGTGGATGACACTTGTGAAATCTTAACATATCTCATCAATCATATCATACAATATCAATAATAAATACATACACAATTGTATTTACGTACAACACTTACACATACAAACACGCACTCTCGCATGTACACATGCAAATTTAGAAAGCACAAACTGGTGGTACAAGTTAATCGCCTGAACATTACGGTTATAGTTGCATACAACAATAACGCACACCAAAAATCGTAATATAACTATAATACAAATTCGAATTCGAAAGAAGTTTTGAAAAATAAAATCTCCATCTAAAACGTGAAAGACGTACGCACACACGTATAAAAAGCATCTTCAAACCATACAGTCAGCCAGTCATTAAAACAATCTACATATACCACTTTGAAAATGTGAGTGATCAGTAATTAACTATAAGACAAATTAGTGTTCAGGGGTAAATCAGGCACTGAAACGTATAAAGTACAAGCATTTAGTTTGATGTTTAGTAGCATGTTAATAAGCGATCCAATATAGTATAATCTTTCATATATGAAGGAAATAAATAAATTCCCATATGTATAATACAAGCGGGTGGTTGGATATGAGCAAATTGTAATGAATTGATGAGCAAGCACATAGTTGGATTAATAAAAGAGACTACTGATGATAACGCAGCAGAAGTAAATGCAAAGGGGAATTTGTTGAATGTCAGATCAGACTTGTTCGTGTTGTGAAGAAAGATGAGACGTGGCGTGTCGACGATGCGGTGTAAGGTTGAGATTATTGTCGAGAAAAGTTGGTAGTATTGTTGGATCTTTGGGTGAGGAAGTGGCACGGGGTGGTGGAATCTGCCAAGGATTCACCAACGAATCTTCGTCGAGATTTGCTTCAGATGTAGTGATACGCTTACGTCGCATATAACAACAGAGCAGAACAAGTACGGCTATTGATATGGCACCAACTAGACCTGAAATCAGTATGCTTGTGATCAAGTACTAATCATTGTAATGAAGGTGATATTAATTTATTGTTATAAGTCAAAGTAGGAATATTTGAAAAGAACGAACCTAATAAAATTGCCGAAATATAGTGTATACGTGTTTCCTTTTCTTGGTCTTGTTCCGTTTTCGTAAGTTCACTATTCACTTCGTTCAAGTCGTACGGTGAAAATGTCGGTCGTTGAGGACGTTCGAATTTTGGCAAACTCTTGAGAATGTCTTCGATGGTTACATTCGGCTGCAATTTTTTGTTCGCTTAGTTGGAAGCAAAAGATCGGTGTGTTGAAAGAATCAAATGAGTATGGCGACTGTTTTAATGCTGAAGAATGGAGAACAACTATCCCAGTTCGGCACCACCATCATAATCATCAAAATTTTATTTAACAATTTTATTCAATTAACATTAGCAACTTACTGTATTGGAGAAACTCGAGAAGAGACGATAACTGTTTTGGATGAAATGTTCTTGAAGATCGCGCGGAAGTAAATTGAAGTCTGGAATTTCACCACGACTCACAGCTTCCATCACCTCTCTTGGTATCTTACCAATATCGTATCCTTGAGGAAGTAACTTTAACATTTCAATAAGTTGTGGTGGTAGTCCGAAACCAGCACTCATCGAATTGGCTGTAATGAGTGGTAATTTCGAGGTGTGAATGCTGCCATCTGATGCACCACTGCCGTTATTATTATTCTCATCATCCGCTTTTTTGCTATCCTTATCATTTTTATCGTTACCGTCCATCACATCTTTGCCATTATCATTGCCCAATGCAATTGGTAATCTTGCCGTATAGTACTCCTAAATTATATGTTTTAGTAAAGCGTTCTGAGTATAAGTTGTTTGAGTGATGAAAAAGCGAAGTGAGCGATGCACTGCAACTCACGCTTATTGCAGCCGTTTGTTGTTCGTTGAGATATGGAAGTTTTTGGCCATTAATGAAATTGGTAACTAGCTCGACAGGTAACTTCTGAAGCGGTGGTAAGTAGAGTTGGCCGTCGGGTAGAGGATGACCTTGATTGGCTGCATCGGCCGCAGCATGCATATGTTGCATGAATTCACGAACGATCTTGTCCATCGTCTGTTTAGGAATACCCGGTATCTGACCACCGCGTAAGACATGTGCGATCACTGGTGGTGGCAACTGAATGGATCAATACTTATTCTCTTTGATACGATCGATCTTATTCATCCTAATTCAGGCATATTTGAGTGACGATCTAATGCATTGAAAGCGACTAACTTTAGTGACATCAATATTGCCAAGACCAGGTACGCTAACAATAAGATTTGGCGCAGCTTTAACGATATCTTCAATATCCGATATGAGCGGCATCCCTCCAGTGGATAAACGAACGATTGGTGCCGAGAGCTGAAAATTATGGGATGAACGATCATTTGCTGTTAAATATGAATGGAACTCGAAGAAGTGAACCTGCTCAATAGCGCTGTTTAATTTTTGTACGTCTTGTGCACGTTCACCTTCCACTTTGGGAATGAAGCGAAGTCCTGGCAGATTGCGAAGTGATGGAATTGATTCGGTGATTGCACCCACTATTGGCACATTGGCCAACGGATTCTGCGGCTGTTGTAGACGAAATGCTGCTGGTAGAGCTGCTTCCATATTGTTCTGTAGTAAATCACTAATCAAATTGCCACCAACCGTGTCTGCTTTCAGTTGAGCGTTCAGCGATTGAATTGTTTCATTAGCCTTCTTCATCATTAGTTCCTTCAACCGAATGCCCGCATATTTCTTTGGCGCTGCGCAAGTGATTTCACGTTGATAGGGCAAGAAGGTACGAATCTGGTTCAGCACCAAGTATTCCACAAACCAATCAAGCTTTTCATCGCAGTTCAGCGGATTGCCTATAATGGACACAGCAACATAGCTAGAATTAGTTGTGAACGGAGTCAAGTTGTTGTTTGCATTAAGCGACAAGTAGTTAAAGTTCGAGACGTTTTGGTCATCAATATTTCATATGTAGACAGTTTAAGAGAACGAAGCAAGCAAGCACTAACTAACCATCGAGGAGAACATTGGCGATACGTTGTTGAAAAGTGCCCTTTTCGAAAGTGGACAGTTTATTTGAAGATAAATCGAGCCAGAAGAGTTTCTTGAGTGGCACGAAAGCATTTTTGTGGATTTTTCGAAGTGCGTTATGCGCCAAATCGATAGTCGTTAGCTGCGGCAATGAGCCGAAAACACCGCCGGGCAACTCATTCAGCGAATTATTGCGCAGATTCAATTGTTGAAGATTCTTCATTCCATCCAGCATGCCACGTTCTTGAATTGATACGTTGTTATCAATTCATTCATCAATTTGCGAAAATTCGAATTCATTTTGTGGCCTGCGAAGGATGAGGCAGTTTATTAATAGGAGTTTCTTACCGAGCGTTTTGATGGTATTATTAGCGAGCAGTAGTATGGAGAGCTGTTCAAGTGCATCGAAGCTATTGCGTGCTATTGAAGTGATACGATTATTCTGAAATATATTTTTATCACATCTCATCTGTATCAACCTCTGATCTCACTGAGTTGATTCAACCATCCCATCTTATTTTATTGATCACAGAATGCACTTAAACTGACCTGGACACTGATAAGTTGTAATCTGGAATTGGAACTGAACGATAAAGTTCCGATATCGGTGATACGATTCGAATCGAGACGAATTTGTCGAATATTCGACAACTCTTTTGATGAGGGAATCTGAACTGAACAGCATAAATAAACAAATCCTGGTTATCATGCTCATAGCTATAATCTTTCTCAGTTCAGCATATATTGTTGTATGTTTAAGCATTTCAATGCGTAATTATTGACTGACTTTTGTGAGACGATTCTCAGAGAGATCAAGCACTTCGAGTTGTTTCAAAACTTGAAAGAGTCGACTCGATTCAAGTGATTCAAGCAAGTTGTTCTTGAGGTAGAGGTATTGCAGTTGAGGCACGTTCATGAAGGCCATCGGTGAAATGGACTTCAGTTTATTGCCGTTGATTCGTAACTCCTGAATTTTGCATCATCATCGTCATCACTTATTAATTTTTATCGAATTCATGCTTATCCGCTTAGTGGTATTGAGGTAGGCAAATTATTGATTGCGTTGAGTCTTAAATTGATAATTTCTAGTAGTTTTGCTTATGCCATTTTATAAACCCGGAGACCATAGGAATATTCATAATGACAAACTTTAAGCATCGGTAGATTCATCACTTCAAAATTCGCAATGTCGGTGATTTTGTTCTCGGACAAATCCACATACATCAATCGAACGCAGTTACGTAGATTTTGAGCCGGTATTTTCGTCAGACAATTGTCACTCATGTCGAGTAACTCTAGACTACCTTTACTTTCATTCAGCGAGTTCCTTAAAAGTTCGTAATCGAAGCGTTTTCATCTAAACGCATTGCTTCAATATTACTTTCATTATATTCTCATTAATAAATATTGTCAGATGTTAGTAGATGGGTTATCATCGTATAATGTGCATCTTCTACAGTCACAAACAGTTATATAACGTGACCACTCATTTATTTTGAGTTATTGATATTTCAAGGACGTAATTGTTGATGATTTGCCTCCTCCTTCCCCTGTTACCCACTGACTGGCCCTTTCCTAAAATAACTTCTCATCGTCGTCTTATTTTAAGTACATATGCATGCCCTTTCAACATTCATAAATGCTCTTTGACGGTTTCTCATTTCAGTCCCATTGAAATCATTCATTCAATTTTTGCATAAAAGAACCAGTCGAATTGAATCAATTCTGTCGAAAAGAAATAGAATAAAAACCTTGAAAGAGAGCAAATTTTGTTGCTTTCCACTCGCAAATGTCTCAGATTACCAGCACCTTCAAGAGCACCCTCCGAAATATCGGTCAACTGAAAGTAACTTTATTTAATCGTGTATTCGTAATCATGATACTTTGAGATCGATGACTGACGACAGTTTATAAACGAGGTCAACGAGGAAGTATTATTGTTGTTGTCACAAGATGCGTCATTAGTCGTGAAAATACCTTATCATTGATCGTGAATGCACAGTCGATTACTTCTAAAGGTATCGGAGATGATAAACTCATGTTATCTGATGACTATTATAAGTTCATAATGATTCTATCAGCAACTCGTACATCCTTATCATACCAGTATCCATTCCTCGTCTGGGGGTTTGTATTAAATATCAACTTATAAATTAGTTGGGCTGAATGAAACATCTAAATGTGCTTACGAGATTATTATTGAGATTTAATGAGAGCAGACGAGGTAACGAGCCAAGTAGTGGAATAGCAGTTAGTGAGTTATTGCTCAGCACCAACTCCTCGAGCACTTCGGTGAGTTCGGTGAAAGCGTTTTGTTCGATCTGCTTGATACCACATGTGATGAGATGTAGTGAACGAATTGTGGCATGTGATAGTTTGGCGAGCGTCTGAAGTAATACGTAGTTTTATCTTTTTCAATTTCAGTCATTTTGGAGGGATATTTTGACGGCTGTGAAATCATTTTGATAGTGCATTCACACATTGCAATTTGCAATAATGCACTGCTGATGCCATAACGTCGTGATAATCACGTCGTTTCAAATCCCTTTTTTTGGATCGTTTCGAAACAACCTGATTCCCCCATCTACATTTCATCCTCATCATCATATCATGTATTAGTGCGTCCATTTATTTATCTGTCTGTCATTAAAAGAGGATGCAATTCCATAATCTGGGTCACAACACCACCATCAATAGGGTTTACGCAAGGTTCGGCTGTCCGTTCATCCCTCTCTCCATTCGCCCACTCATTCATCCATCAGTCAGTTCGTTGAAATTTTTCGTGCAATGCGCACGTTCGCTTAAGTTCATCACTTACTTAAACTTCTGCCCAATACTTCCTAATCTGAGTAACAATTGTGCAAAATTTCGATGACATTACATCGAAATTAAAAGACTCAGCCATAATTACGACATGTGATATGATCATATCCATCAGCTTAATTAAACAAACAGACATATTCAGTCGGGACTTATAATCCTATAAAATTTATTATTTCTTGTTAGTAATAACGAAAATATGTAGCAATGACCTTAGTTAAATAGGTAAATTCAGGACTTACCGGCCATGATGCACCAGTGATTGTTAAACGTTGTACGCGAATTTTACCCAACGATTCGACAATAGCATTAACATTATTGAGACCAGCAGCGTTGCATTCAATGAAATAACCAACTGGGTGATTTTCACATTTACATTTGCTTGAAAGATCGTTTGGACATTTCGAGGATGGTGATGACGAGACGGATACTGATGATGTAGCACAAAATAAGATGATAATGGCCAAAATAAGCCAAGTAATTTTAACCCTCGTGAGGGTTGAAGCCATGTACTTTGCTTTGTTATGTGGTGGATGGTGAGCAGCAATACTATTAGTATTTATGAATTTGTACAATTACACAGCGATTAACGAGGAGAGTACAATGAGATTATTGGTAACAACCAATCACTGAGCCGAAATGAGTGAAGTGTGAGCTGTGGAGAAGATTTGTTGAAATGAATGATGATGTGTATGTATCAGTCGAAATGAAGAATGGTCATTCGAGATTGAAACAACACAGAGATCAATTAGTTGATCGTATTTTTGATCGATACCACTCGCCGTATGTAGTGATCAGAAATGATTTAATCTGTAGATGACGTGACTGTAAAATAACACACTCGTTAGAAGTGAATAGTAATGACACCTTTTTAGTGAGTCGTTGAGGCGATAAAAAACGATGCTTTGATTCACTCACTTAATGTCTTGAATCACTTTAGTAAAAATCAATTTGCGATATCATTCTCTGTTCGTGACTTTACGTCTTTATGCACGCTGGAGACGAATCCCGTCCTTCTGTAAACACGCACTTGTTTAGTTTTTAATCAGGATGAGTTGATCACGTTGTTGGTGTTCGCATTGAAACTGACACAGCGCAAATATCTGAAATTTTGTTTTAATAGTATTTGGGATCCAGCAAATCGCCATTTTAATCGTTGAGCACGAGTAGCTAGGTCAGGTTGCAATAGAAAGTTTTTAGTTTATGATTATTGCCTCATGATGAGAATATCACTGTTGCGGCACTTTATATAAACGATTACACTAGGCCTGTGGAATGGAGGAGGAAAAAGAAAAACTGATTGATGATTTTCGTTATTAATTTTTATGAGAAAAACTTTGTCCAGACAGATAAAGTTAGTGATCTGGATAAATAATGAGAAGATGTTGTTATATCCGAGAAAAGGGCAAGATTGTCGTAGAGAATGAATGGATGATGATGATAATATAACTGAATTAGCAGCAATTGGCCAGCCACCTGATTATTGTTGACAGGCATGTGGAATATAAAAGAACGATTGTTGTTATGTAACGCAGCGATGGACCATTTCATGTAAAAACATGTGAGGATACGTTAGATAGGCAGATGGAATGACAGATATAAATCTTAACTTTTGGTATTAATGATTTCATCAGCAAAATTCCATTCTCTGAAACAAGCGTTATTGCTCTAAATGATGATGATTGGACAATGAGTGAAGGTCGTCGTCACACAAAATACGTTGTCAGAAATGAAATCTCTTCGAATCTCTTACAAAAATAACGACTCAAAGCGTCTTCATTAATTAACAAACATTCATTAAGGAATGATAGAATGAATAATGAACAGTTTACAGTAAGGAAAAAATCAGTGTTATTACGCATATACAGCCTAAAATCAATGTTGTTACGCGTATTATCGTTAAAAAATCAAGGAAATTCACGGCTCATCACTATTCGATTTTTTATGTAGAAGGAATTGAATGTTTGAGAACATGGAAAAGTGTTTTTGTGAACATATGTGAAAATATTTGACCGCATGAATTTTTTGTGAACCTTTAAAAAAAGACCACTCGGGAGACCTCCCATAAGATGAAAAGACGATATCACAAAGAAACTGAGTAGCACCTGGCAGAGGAAAGCAAGATCAAGGATCGAATGGAAACGCATTGTGGTCAGCAACGTTAAAAAAGTTTGATACCCTGGCCAATCCAGGTAATGTGAAAATATGTGAGAAAGGGATGAACAGTAGTGAACAGGAAAAAATTAGTGAACGGGAGTGAAATTTGCATATGTGCAGGAAAGGATGGGATGAATAAATTAATCCACCCAACGCCAATTTTAATTCATGTGAAGAAAGTATTTCGAATGAATTCTAATCGACTAACTGAGTGAATGGGAAACGCAGACATCGTGACAATGCTCTGTCTTAGAGCAGAACACACACTGCTCCCGAGCAAGCACTATTATATTTGAAAATCGCGCTAATTATATTAGCCTTATTTTGTGGTTCTGTTAGCTCTGTTATCATTCTCGTTTATCACATTCAAAAATGCAAGGATCCAATAAGAATGAGAGTAGAAATAAGGATATCTGAAAATAGGATTTCGATGTGTGTGGATATGAATGGAATTGATAATTGATTGAATAATGATGCTGCATCACAGCATATCAGTAACCTGAATATGCAGGATGAATAAATAAGAAGAAAGAGTTTCGTAGAGAATGAATTGACGAACGAATGAGGTAAAATGAAAGAAGGAAAGAGGGAGGTGTAATTTTAGGTTTATAGGATTGTTGAATGGTTGGATTGAGTGGGTGGGTAAGTGACTATGCGTTCAGATTGACTTCATTCGGTCAGTCGGCTGGTTGAAAGATTATTAGGTTATATATGTGCATGACCAACACGATAATAACGACTGAGGGGAGGAAAGGAGGCATTTGGAAGGCAGGGAGTAGTGGGATTAGCGAAAAGTGACTAGGGACGTTTTAAGGTGAGTGATGGTCGAAGAGCACAATTATCAGTTTGATGTGATCTGAACAGATCATGATCTTGTGACTGTACTACTTGCAAAATTAGGGATAATGAATTGACTGGACTTTGATGACTGGTTAATCAATCGAGGGTTCGTCGAAGTGGATTGATAGTATTTTCGTTCCAATTCTGGACGTGGTCTATTACTCTAGTATCACTCACCAGTTTTGTTGGTTTTATGGAGAGGAAAGAGTAAGGATGCGTATTAAACCAGGTGTTGAAATAAGGGAGTAAGTGAAAGTATGAAGAACTGATAGTGAGCATAAATTTTAGTGAGGATTTACGGTTCTGGGATGTTTGAATACAATAATGTAAATTGTTGCTTGTTGACAGAAGGATGAAGGGTTTTTGTGAATAATAAAGTGCTTGAGTTTAGTGAATGAATTTGTTGAGTATATCGTGAATGTTCATTATCGGTCATTCATTTTGTTAGTTTTGTTTCGTATTCGTCGATTATGAATCGTTGTAACTTAAGAATCATAATTCAGACCAACCAGCTGCAGCTGTTCGAATCTAATACCAAATACTTATACTATCAGTATTAATAATAGTTGCACTAATAATAATACTGCAATAAATAATTGAATACATGGAGCACAAAGCAACAAAATGGGCCAGCAGGTCGAGGTCGATGGTCGCACATGACCGAAATTCGTACAAAAATTCAACCCATCCACAGTATTTATACAGAACAGGGAGGGGGGAGGGAGTAGAGTTGGTTGTGGTCAGTTAAGTGATGATATGATGAAGGCTGGCTGACTGCTGGTTGATCAGATATGAAACGGTAATTGCCAGATTGGCATGAACCTGAAAGAGTGGTGTTATCCATCTAAAATTGAAATCAACGCGTCGAACGAGACATAACAGAGAGCAGTGCGTTGCATGCACATGCACATGCACAAGGCATGTGTCAATAACCTAAACGAATGATAGCAGCAGCAGTCTTATTGTGTCACGTCACAGTTTTATGCTGATCTTTTAATCAGTTCAAGTTGAAAATTGATTTCATCATTTTATCGCAGCATCGCATATATTTGATTGAACACGAATTTGTTCTGTTCATGTTTTGTTTTGAAATGTACACATACTCCATAATCGAACAGGGCTTATTCTTCATTTATCTTTTGATCAGTTGTCGCTACTGATGACGATTACCTAAAAAGTTATCTGAAAATACTCTCGTCTATCATCCAGACCATCGAATGGAATATTTAAGTTCGTTCATATTCGTAATCAGTGGGAATGATAAAATCACAAAGAGCCAAGCGGCGACAGACAACAAGACGCGCATTAACCGATGATCTTTTGATGAAGACGAAACTGCTAAATAGACTAAATAATATTGTTTGATGAAATAGTAGATATCAGTCCATCAATACATCTGAATTTATACATCGAATGAGGATGATAAGGTCTCATGACACCAAGTTAGCCGAAATCGTTTCGACCAGTTTCTGTCTCTTTTAAAACAACCACGATGATAATGGTGATGATGATCGACATCTGCTGTAGCCATACAAAGTCTACTTCCGAAAGAAATAATTCGAAAAATCAACTGCATTGATTTTTAAAACATGATTTCTTTGCATACCTACAAAATCATATTCAATTTGTTATTCGTTTATTCATTCTTAATAATTGAAAATCAGAAATTTTTTGATCAAATGCCTAATGAATAATATTGAGCGAATGGTGTGTGGTCTGTTCGTGTGATTTATTGACAACATACGTATCTGTTGAACCAATAAGTAACGTATTTGAAGGGAATACCATATCGGATGAATGAGATGTCTTAATGTCTAATCCAATTCTGATCTTGAGATAATACAGATCAGTGACTCATCATTGATTAATTTCTTTTCATAAGATTGTTTCATCCGTCATAAATGGGTTGAGATATGATATGACTGTGCATGAGTTCACGTAGACATGGAGTGGTTGACACAAATTGTTTTGTAATGATGGAGTAATAACATCATGTTTACTTACAATTAGTATTATACTATTTATGTTATTTAGAGGCAGTCGATGAAACATCGTCGAATAAGGAAGCTGAACAGAGACGAACGCCTTCCAGAGAAGCTTCAGAGGGTGTCGGCCCATGGCCTGCAGCATCCACAATCACATTGCAAAATCAGAACGACTTCGAAACATTTCCTGAATTCCCACAACAAAACATTGATGCTGGTGATTGTTTATGATTACATGTAGATCTCTATTATCAGCATTACTGTAATTGTTTATTTTATTATGAAAATGAGAATATAGAAGTGATGAGCAGTGCAACAATGGATGATACAATGTCGATAACGACGAATGCGTCTGACGATGATCAGCAATTTGTTGTGTTCGAAACGCCTGATGATGACGTCTTTAATAATGCGACTGGTTTGTTCGTTTGTCTTTGGTCATCATAGATACTTGGATGTCGACGTTTCGTCGTGATATTAGACATATATCAGTTTTGTTTAAGAATAGTTATGATACTCACTTGATCTTTTGCTGTTACTGCAATAGAACATTTGTCATTTAGTGTTGCGTGCAAAATTTAAGATTCTTCTTGAGAAAAGAAAATAATGCGACGGGATCAGACCAGGTGAGGTGGGTATGCAAAATGAACATTAACGAAACGATAATTACATAATCGCATTCGAAAATGCCACTTGAAAGAAGCAATCAAAAATGTTGACATCTCTTGTTCGAAATTCAGTGATTCGAACACACACGTTGTCGTTGTTTAAAATATTATATTTTTGACATTTTCGCATGTATTTAATTGTGATGGTGTGTATAATTGAGATGATAAGGGAACAATAAATCGATGATAGTTGGTTGATAGCTGAGGTAAGTTTCAGTAAACTTGCGCTGAAATAAAATCAAAAGTGAAGTACAGATCAGAACTCCAGTTTGTAGAAGCATCATCGCCTGCAAGGCGTGAGGGAAGTGGGAGAATATAGGCGAAAGATGAATAATTGATATGAAATTGTGATTGAATTTTTTCATGTTTCAATTCAAAATGAAAGTTAAGACTATCGCTTGCTCATCTTAAGATGTTGTTGTCGGTGAAGAAGCAACAGAAATTGATGAATGTTTAAAAAGTGAGCAGCAACATCAGGCGATCCTCTCAAAACGCGTAAGTTTTTTTCAGAAATGTTCCAAAAGTTTCAAGAGAGTGAATATAGTCTAGTGAAATTTTCTCTCGAACTACCTGCATGTCTCATCGTTAAGGTAATATCGCATCTATTGCTTCCTGATGGTTGTGTTCGTCTGTAGAAGACGTCAAAATTATCATTAAATTTTGAAATCTATTCTGCAAGTGAATAGTAATGCATGGTAATAATAATGAGTTTGTCTTTCAGGTGAATGTATTGAGTGTTTTGCTTGATAATGTGAATATGACAATTTTATCGGTTAACAAGTCAACTAGTGTTGAAGGTTATTCATCAAAGTAAGTATAAGTAACAATCGATGAAATTTTCATTAAAAAATATAATAATAGTGAACAACAGTTTATCTCTTACAGCCTAGTATTTGCAAAATACTTTCTATGGTATACGTATTTGTTTTTATTATTGAATACGAACGTTCAATTCGTTTCATATTATTTATTCATGTACGTGTGGTCATTTAGAGTGGATTTAAATGAAAGGATGGATCAAACATGTGGCGAAGTGTTCAGTTGGATAAACGCACAAACCAATGCACAACATTCGTCTGAAATCACCCATGCGAATGGCTCTTACCAAATGGCACAAGTGAAATTTCGTTTTATTTCAGAGGCGAATAACGGCACACCTTCATTGAATGTATGTCGTGTATTAATCTGTAAAATTTCAATTATTTTTGTGGTTGTCTTGCGAACTTTTTTTTGTTGAATTTCGTATGAATCATTCAGGCTCAAGTACAAGGAGTGAACATAAAATTGAACGAGGAAATCGTCTCACATTTATCGCCCTTCTTGTTCGATGAGGATAAAATTGAAACGCCGTTGAACATGAAAATTAACGTGTCAGAAACGAATATTTTCATTAAGGTAAGTATGTGAGTGAATTGCTTTACGATGTTATAGAAATGTGATATGATTTCTATGATAGATTGATTTTGATTATTAATTTTGAACGCAAGCTGGACGTTATCTTCATAAACTATAATAAAATTCGTATAATGTTCTCCATGCAACATTATTTCCTCTTGGAATTCAATTTTTATAGCTGCCATTTTCTTCATTCCTAAATTGTGGATTCAATTGGCTCGTTACACAATCAGTCAATCAATCAACTAAATTGCGCATTTTCAAATTATTTGTACTTCTGTCTATCGGTCTCTTTTCCGTTTTTAATCACTGGTATTTTTATCAAATTGCTGTCACAGAATTATTTTCATTCATGTGCTTTGTCCTATAGTGTCATCCTTCGTTTGAAGCACTTATCTACCTCTAACCGAAAGTGCTTTCAGGATGCGAAAACTGCTTATCCACTTCGAATTAAACTGAACGATTGTGTGATTGAACAGGGCGATGAAGAGAGTTGCTGTTGAGTTTTCACGCGAAAAGAAGGTAGATAGCTAGTTTGCAGTTTCTGTTTTATACCCATATCTTCTCATCGTTACACCCTTCAGCACCTAATCCAACAATACAAGAGCATAACAAAGATAGAAGGTGGAAATGTTTCTGATGAAAGAAAAGAGTAATTTTTTAAAAATCATTAAAGCATTTTCGTTTTTTTTTGTAAATGAGCTGAAGCATTTACAGAAAAAATTACAAAATTGTTCTTATTGCTTGTTTTAGGTCTTTCAGAATTATTAACCAGCGACGAACCATATATTCGTAAAGTGGTATTGTCTAATCGAAAGAACTATTCCTTGTGCTTTTAAATTATTTTTTTCGAACATTATTATTACTCTCAAATTATTACTACTGTCAACATCCATTCATTTATATTATTATAATTCATATTGATACTAATATTGGTTTCGAAAGGTGATTTCTTCTGTTAATTATTTTTATTTACGTGCTGCTGCTCAACGTTGTGTGACAGTAATTATAAAATGCAGAGATTTAATTCTTTGTATTCAAAACGATGGATTTTCATAGTTGGATGAATGAACAGCTATAAAGAATATCGAATCGAATAAACACTTCAATTAATTAACCATCAATCTCATCTTATCACATATCCATGCATATCCGCTAATATTCATTCATATTTTTGATCTTTGGCAACGAGCAAAGCTTCAGAAAAAAATTATTATTTAATCATTACTATTATTATCATTATTTCTTTTTTTATTACTGTCAATACTATTATTATTAAATATTATTATAGTGATTATTATCATCTTGCTGCATGACGCAAAACGCAATAGACCACGCAATAGTCATTTATTGGAAACAATTAAAACAGCCTAATTGCTTTGTTAGGCTATGCGATGTTCGCGAAATTAATGGTATTACGAACGGAATTTTGATCATCACTTTCAGATATGTAACTGGTAACATAAAGAATATTGTGGTTGATTTTTTTGAAGGGTTTTTTTGCTTTTTGATTATTTGTTAAGTGAACGGAAAATTTTGTTCGTCGGCTTGTGTACGTATATAT